AGGCCGAATGGCCTCCCTACTAACAAAAACTCTTACCTCTTGGTTTAAGCAATAAAATGGTACATAACGATATTCTATGAATTAGCTAGTCAGATCGTCTTTCTTTAGCAAAAATATGTTAAATTATATGAAATTATAGTTTTTAATTTCAACTATTACTGTTACAAAACATTTTAAAAAATCTTTCAACTTGAGTACTTACTCATTAAAATGTAGCTGAAGAAATTTTTTAAATGTTTATTTTTGAGAGAAGGAGAGTGTGCGCACGCCCATGCACACACACATGCGCACGCATGGGTGGGGGAAGGGCTTAGAGACAGGGAGAGAAAGAATCCCAAGGAGGCTCCAGGTTGTCAGGGCAGAGCCTGATGTGGGGGCTCAAGTTCAGGAACTGAGACCATGACCTGAGCTGAAATCAAGAGTTGGATGCTTAACCGACTGAGCCACCCAAGTGCCCCTGAAGAAATAATTTTAAATACCAATCTTTTACCTCACAAATTGGCAAAAAAAAAAAAAAAAAAAAAAAAAAAAAAAAAAGCTTTATTATTTTTTTTTAAAGATTTAATTTTTAAATAATCTCTACATCCAACATGGGGCTCGAACTCACAACTCCGAGATCCAGAGTTGCATGCTCCACCAACGGAGCTAGGCAGGCACCCCAGGAAAAATATTTTAATAATATCAAGTGTAGGTGAGAGTCCAAGGAAACTGACATTCACATGATGGGGCTGCGGATGTAAACTGGTACAACTTTTTGAAGAAGTACACTTTATAAATCAGCAGTATTTTTACATAAGAGTTTTGATACCAATATTCATCAGAAATCTTCAAAATATCAATGTTTTTACCTCAGCATCCCAATTCGGAGAATTCAAGGAAGTAACCAGAAATGTATATACAGCAATAATGATAAGTAAAAATAACAACTACACTTTACTGAGCACATATTCTATCCCAAAGCACTGCACATACTTTACATAGATTACCATCTCACTTAATTCTGAATATTATCTTCATTTCATACACGAGAAAACAGAGGCTTATAAGTTAAGTGACTGTAAGACCTGGTAAGTGTGGTGGAGCTGTGATTCTAAGGTAGATCTATTTGAAACCTAAGCCCAAGTTCCCAGCCAATAGAATATGATGCTACTCTAAGAAAAATCTAGTAAGAAAATGGGGACGGTGATTTCTCTAGTTTGATAGTTCTAAAGAATATTATTTTTAATTGTGAAAAAACCTGGAAACAAACTAAATGTCCAGCAAAAGGCGAATATTTCAATAAATATACAGGGGCGTCTGGGTGACAGTCGCTTGAACGTCCAACTTCAGCTTAGGTCATGATCTTGTGGTTCCTGAGTTCGAGACCTGCATTGGGCTCGCTGTTGTCAGCACAGAGCCTGCTTCAGATCCCCTGTCTCCCTCTCTGTCCCTTCCCTGCTCATACTCTCTCGAAAATGAATAAAAACATTAAAAATAAATAAATGAACATTATACAGTTATTGACATAATACTGAGATACATTTTAATGACACGGAAAAAGGCTCGTAATAGATTAAATGAAAAAAGCAGGTTTCAAACAGTATGTCCAGGGGCACCTGGTGGCTCAGTCAGTTGAGTGTCTGACTCTTGATTTCATCTCAGGTCATGACTTCAGGGTTCATGGGACTGAGCTCCACCCTGGGCTCCGTGCTACTGGCATGGAGCCTGCTTGAGATTCTCTCTCTGCCCCTCCCCTGCTTGTGCTCTCTTTCTCTCAAATAATAAAATAAACTTAAAAAAAAAAAAAA